AGTTGTTATAAGGGATGTATCAAATGAATAATAGCATTGGAGTGGATAGACCAGTGGTGACATCTTATGAAGAGGTTAAATAAATCCAGTTTGTAGTCAAAGAGGAGTTTATATCCAGTAATTTGAGAGACATATAGCTTAGCATAGTAGAAGACAGTGGACTTTGAATCACACAACTGATAATGACTTGTTGTTTCATTCATAACTTACTAAACTTTTCTGAATCACACTTGTCTTATGTGTAGAATGAGGATAAGAGTCTTTGCTTTGCATGGAGATTGTGATGACAAGAGTTAATATATGTAAACACCTTTGCAGTTCCTGACACATAATTAACTCTCACCAAATGTTAGACTGGTGATCATGGGGAGTGAAAAGTTGGGGGCATATGTATGATTCATCTATGAAAAAAAGAGAATGAAAATTAGTTGGTAATTGACTCTATTTTTGAAGTACTGAAGATTAAAAGACAATTCCAGGAGCTGCGGGAACCCAATATTTGAATAAAGATTGAATACAAATATGTTTCTACATAGTTCCCAACAGCTAGGCATTTGTAAATGTCTAGAAAATTAACTGATATTTTTCAGCTTTTATGCACACATTTGGAGTCATGTCAACAGCCCACAGCCTATGAATCAACCTGGCAGTTATGTGAGTCCTATTTTGACCACAGCTAATGATTTTTACAAGATATAAAAATAAATACGATGCATCTAAAATTTAAAATTGGTTCAAGAATTTATTTTGTGTTTTACCACTTTCAAATTGTTCTCAGTGCACAAATCAGCCTCAGGTCACTTTATAATTGGCACATGTGTGTTTCCTTGAATCCAATGTAAATTTAGCGAAGTTATAACTCACGTCACTATTAATAAAATTGAGCTTTATCTGAAGTCTAATCTTTGTGTGATTTTTCTATGTTACAAGTAATTCACAGTGTAAAATACTTCCAAACACTAGCCACTTCTGATCTTAAAAAAATGGAAAGAATTAAAGATCTTGATATTTAAAGCCATTTTCTTATTAAAATAACTTTCTGATTTTCTGAGCAGTGCATGAACTAGAACAGAGACATTTAAAAATTTATATTGAATACCATGAGGGGGAGAAATCATGAACATTGAACTGAAAACACAAAATATATGAGATGCTGCAAATTATATACATTTTAGTGCTATGTATTATATTTAAGTGGGGACACCAAAAGAAGATGGAGAACAAACCAGCAGACCAAATAAGCAAATAAATGAACATGATAGATAGAAAAGTATGGAAGAAAGATGTGAAGAAAAAAAATATAAGCAGAGAGCTTGTAATGCATAAGGCAAGCAGAGACATAAGTAGGTAGAACTTTTGGGGAGGTTGTTACACTAAACCTATAAGTACTTTCTTCCTCAATTAGAGATTTCCTTATCTACACCTGCTATCATCCTTTCTAGATACAGCAGGGATGATGTTCTTTCTCCAGTTCTGAAAATTGCAATTTTTTTTTCCTTGCAATCATGTCATCTTCCTTTTGTTTATGAGTTATAAACACCAAAGCTATTCTTTTTTCTACTATGTCTGTCTCCTAGAAATCTAGGTTATAAAATACACTGATTGAACAAACTGCTCTTGTTCCATTGCATATTCTTTTCTCCTTTATCAAAAGTTAGTTGCCCATATATTTGTGGATTTATTTCTGGGTTTTCTATTTAAGTCCATTGGTCTCTGTGTGTTTTTGATCCAGCACTGTACTGTTTTAATTATTATGGGTTTAACACCCATAGTAATTCTCCTTCATTTTCCTTCTCCTTCTTTTTAGTCAGGAGAGCTTTGGCTATTTGAGGTTTTCTGTGGTTCTGTATGAATTTCATCAATATTTGGTCTATTTATTTGAAGAATGTCATTGAAATTTTTATCAGAATAGTGTTGAATCTGCAAATTACTTGTGGTAGGATGGCCATTTTGATTATGTTAATTCTTCCAATCCATGAGCAGGGGATGTCTTTCAATTTCTTTGTATCTTCTTCTATTTCTTTTTTTTTTTAAGATTTATTTATTTTTATACAAGAATAGGGGTACAGGCCAGAGATGCGGGGGTGTGAGAGGATTCACCAGAGAGATAGTGGGAAACAGAACAGGCAAACTGACTAAATACACTGCTGAGGGGAGCAGCAGGCGTGACAGAAGAGGTCTGCCCCACCATGTAGGATTCTCCCTGGTCTGCCAGAAATCGAACTCATGCTGCAGTGACTGCGGATTGCTTCATAGGTTGCATCTTAACCCCTGCGCCACCAGGGAGGCCCTCTTGTTCTTTTTCTTTCAACAGTGTTTTATAATTTTCTTTGTATAGGTCTTTCCCCTCTTTTATTAGGTTTATTCCTAGGTATTTGACTTTTTTTGTTTCCATTGCAAAAGGGATGGTTTACTTAATAAGTCAGAAGGAAAAGAAAAATATTGTTTGGTTTCACTTACAGAAGGAATATAGAGGAACAAAATAAGGGATCAGGAAAAAATAACAATAATAATAAATAAATAAGCAACATTAGCAAGTAACTATAAATCAGAGACATTTTGCAAGGGCGGGGGAGTCAGAGGGATCAAAACAGGGGAGGGAAGAGCATAAGGGACTATGGTGATGGTTAATGGGTGTATTGGTGATGGGAATCTTACAGGGACTACACCTAAGAGGAGAAATCAATCATTGTACAAAAATGAACAATGATGTAAAATATATATATATATATATATACACATATATAAAAATATTAAAAAAAATAAATATTCTGATGCCTCAGAAGCTGTCATTTCTACTACCTTTTGCTCTCTTTATGCTACAATCAGCTTGTACATCTGTTGCTTCCATTTCCCAGATATCTGGCCACATCAAATTTCACCATTCCAAGCTTAATTCTTGCTGAGCAGCAGTAATCCAAGCAACAAACCCAAGGATTCTTTGAAAGTCTTTCCCTGACAATGCTATTTAAAATGTGCTTCTTAGATATTTCATCATTTTTATCAGTATTGTGAATTATATTATATTCTATGATTTTTCTGATTCTTTTCTCTTAGAGACAAATGTTATTGATAGTTAATAATTGCAAAATTCAATAAACATATTTTATCTAAAAATAAAACAAAAATAAGTCTTTCCTCTGCCATCTCTTTGCCTTTTAATAGTATAAATACATCCCTTCTTGTTTAAGATCTCTTTTAGGTTTTGTAAAACAAAAGCCTAGTTGTCCACCCACTCAGATCTCTTATTTTACTCATTTACAGTTTTATTTCCACCCTACATTCCCATTAGAATGTAGAGATTTTATGATTCCCTTTTCTTGCTCAGTACCTCCCCAAATAAAGATCTCACTCACTTTCTCAAATTTTGATAATCATCTTCAATATAATGACTTACAGAGACCCACATTTAACTCTGACTTACACCTACTGGACACCTACCTGCTTTTGTGTTTGTTCCCCCCCTGGCTATTCCTTTGTTATTTAAAAGTGCACATCTCTGGAAGCAAACTCCTTATCTTCTTCTCTAAATATATGGTGTTTCTTATTTCAGGTGATTTAGAAGCTGTGCTTCAGTTTGATTCTGCCACTCTTTGAATCAACTTATCTGTTAGCAACAAATAATCTCTTTACTGTTTGAGATATTTTGAAAATACACATTCCTTTGTTGTTTATATTATCATCTTAATTCTAGTCCTTGCTTATGGAGCATTGAAATGAGTGGCTCTATTTATTTTCTGCTTCTACTTTTTTGAAGATTTATTTGTTTGTTTGTTTATTTGTTTGTTTATTCATTCATTCATTTATTTATTTATATAAGAGCTGGGGTGTGCAGGCCAGAGGTGCAGGTGGTGAGAGGTTTCAACCAAGACAGAGTGGGGAACAGAACAGGCAGATTGACTGAAATACACTGCTGAGGGGAGCAGCTGGCAAGACAGGAGAGGTCTGCTGCGCCATGTGGGTAGCTCCCTGGCTGGGAATTGAACTCGGGCCAGACAATGAGAGTGCTGATACTTAACCCCCCCGGCTACCAGGGAGGCCCCAGGAGTAATTATTAATAGTACCCCTTTTCACTTTCAAAAGTGTTCTGGTTAATGATAAATGATATGGTTATTTTACTTGTATGGCCTCTTGTAAAAATGTGTTTTTCCCCTAACAATCCCTAAAAGAAACACTGTGATATTTCAGTTATATTTAATACTCCGCCACTCTAATAGCCCCAAAGCATTTTTATTAATGAGTTGAATTTTGTGATTTGGCTAGAAAATGTGTTTGCTCTGAGATGGCTTAGTAATGTTGCCAAGTCCTATCTTAGATGATGTGCAGTGAAGTGTGAGGATGGGCTAAGGTTTATAAATTTATAATAGGTGCTATCGTGGGCAGGGCTGAAGGTAGAAAGTTGTGTATGAGTGAAGGAAACCACAGAAACAGCCTTCAAGGAACAAGGTAGCAACTAGCCTACGCTTGACCTGAGTTACTGCAGATCGAGGAAAGGAAGCAGCTTCTATATTCTACTGAGTTTCAACCGAGGCTTACAAGCTACAAATCAGTAAATAGAGAATCAAATGGATGTAGTCAGGGAAGTGTAAGGAGAGGGATAGAGCCATCTCTCGTGTGCATGCCTGACCTCCGGGAAAGAGTTTGGCTGCATTGGTTAAAAGAATCAGAAATTGTTTATATATTTCCTCTGAGACATCGTGGCTGGGGAAAAAAAATATATTGGCAATGTTCCAGTTATACTACAGAAATCTGTTCAATGTGGGTTCTCAGATTTTGGTGGGGGATTTGCTGTCAAATGTTTTGGGTTTGATTCATGGCAAAATTTCCCATCATCTATAGGATGAGCTAAGGCTGCATATCTATATAGGGAGCTTAAAAAATAATCTCTTCTAATCTTAAAGGAGAATTGTTTTATTTTTTATCATTTCTAAAAGAACCATTTAAAACTCCTGTCTGTCACACTATGGGGGGGCGGGGAGAGGAGGAATTGGGGTCAAAATAAGGAGGGTGCAATTGTATGGGGAATATAAAAATAAAAAATAGAAAAAAAGAAAAAAAAATCCTGTGACTTATTTATAAAAAAAAATCAGTCCATGTAACGTGGCACGCCTAGAGAAGTTATTAGTTCCTCTTATTTGGAATGCAATTTATATGTAGTTCATTTGTAAAAAAAAATTATAAATAGATGCAGTCTGACTACATAAAGCTGAACGGATATTTTATGATGCGTTCAGAAATTGGGGTTCTTAATACTGCATTTGCTTTGTCTAAAAGCATGCTACAAATGCTCAACCTTTATTTGCTATTCCTCTTGTTGGATTCTGATGGACAGGCTGCACTTGCAATCAAACTTCTGCCTTCGAAAGTTGTCATTTCTGGTCTGGAATATCATGACTGAAGGTTCATTTGTCTTGTCAGAGTTCAAAAGGGTACTGGAGTTGTATCCTCTGGCCTCCTTCCGTTCCTTGCTTTTCAAAATGATTCTGCAGCGTGCCTCTGAATTTTGGCTTCGACTCCTGGGCATGCATATGTTGGCGGGTAAGGCTCCTTCTGTTCACCTTCCCAGTGGAAGGAGCTGAGGCTGGAAGGAATGGGAAAATGAAACTTGAAGGTATTAATTTTTAAACTCCCAAACCAGTTGCTGTGCCTGTCACTTTAGGCTTCTGAATTTCATTAATGTTGACAGAGATGAACGACATGTCCTAATTGAGGCCTTGCACCTGCAGTTTGACAGCACTAGCTGCTTCATTAGCACAAGCACAAGGCCTGATTCCCCATGCCTGGTGTTCTGAGAGCCAATCACCATCTCCACAAAATGTGCAGTTGGAGAAGGGCAATGGAATTATAAGCCAGTATCCAGGAGACCTCTTAGGAGAGGAAAAAAAAAAAAAAAAAAAAAAGACAACAAATATTTGGGCTCATTTAAATGAAATCTCACCGTTTTTATATTATGTCTTCAGATCAGTTATCTGCTCACATCTTGCTACCTTCCAGTTTAATCAGTTGTTCAAAAAGTAATAGCTTTGTGTCAACATTATGTCTGTATGTATAGACACACGAATACGAAATTCATTCATGCCAACACTTACCTGTTATGACTTTAACTATTATGACTTTAACTAAAACTATTCTCAAATGAAAAAATAGGGTTAGCATGTGGAGGGGCAGGATTGACACGGAGCAGTTTTCCTGATTCAGCAGACCGGGTAAAGGAGGTGTCCTGGAGCCCTCAGTGGCTTTTGCAGGCTTTTATTGGGATTTACCGGGTTCATGGCAAGTAGGAGTGCTGGGGGGCTGGGCGGCTGGCAGGTCTCCCAGCCCCCAGCAAATCCTCACTCTATCTGGGCTCTCTCTGGTGTTCTCTCTGCTTCTCTTCTTCTCTGGGCTTCTGCTGGCGTTCCTGTGACACCGCCCTTATAAACTCGGTCTCTCAGACTAGGTGTACCCACTTCAGGTGCCCACCATCAGGCATGCATTCAGGACCACAGGGTTCCCTCATCTATCCTAATGGCGGGAGGGCAGAAAAGCCTGATACTTTTTCCTTACCCTACAGCATGACTAGTTTTCGATCTATCACTTCTTGAAAGTACAAAAATACACATACTTATGTAACACTCAATACACAACTAGTAGTACTTGGTACCATGTTGTGCGATGGACAGACACCCAATAACTGCTCATTTGTTTTCTTTTTATAAGGGAGATTATTTCTAAAACCCATGGATGAAAATGTGTTTCATTCATTTAATTATAATTGTGTACATATACATCCATGTCTCCTAACTTATTTTACTTGAAAGCTGACGTTATTGTACAGCACTCTGTCATTTCATATATTCATTAATGAATTCATTTCCATAAGCTGTTCTGTAGCTAATGGTAGGGGGAGGGAGCGATAATAGCAAATTGAGAACATTTGACTCAGATCAAAATGGGAGAGATATTTTTACCACTTATTATGTGTATGATCTTGATAAATCATTTAAAGTACCAATCAATAAGGGGAAAATGAGTAATTATATAGAAACATGGGCAGATATTTTGATGAGGTACTTCACAAAAAATGCTATCCAAATGGCTTATAACCATCATGGAAAGTCAAGGTAGAATCATAATGAAATACCACCACACAGCCAAGGGAATGGCTAACATTAGAAAGCCTGCCAATCCTTTTACAATAATGCTCATAAATTTCAGGTGGGGTTTTAAATGGGTGTAGCCTCTTTGGAAAATAGTTTTCCATTATCTAATGAAGACAATATTCATTCTAAATAGGCATATCTAGATAGGCCAACTATTCTAACATGTTCCAGAAAAATGCATGTATATATGTACTAGAAGAAAGGAATAAGAAAGTTTGTAGATGCATAATTCAAAACAATCCCAAGGTAAAAACAACAACAACAACAACAAAAAACTGAATATCTTGATAGGATAATGGAAAATGAATCCATAAAAATAATTGCACTACAGTTACAAACAACAGCATCAATGGATATTTATCAACATAAGGTTGAACCAGAGAACCTGAACATAAAGGAATAAATATCGTATGTATAGGGAGGGATATTTCAGTTGTAACGGAATAAGATTATTTAAAAAACAAGGTTAGTAGTTATATAGAGAGAGGAGGGACATTCAGAGAGTTGCTGAAAAAACGGTAATACTCTATTTTTCTAATGATTTTTTTACCTGCCTAGGGTGGTACTTATCTGTACATTATGTATTATGTACAATTTTTCCTTCTATGCATTGCTTTCAAAATAAAAACACATATTTAAAATGCAATACTTTCAGCTCTCTGCACCTACTTCCACTTAATCTCCCAAAAAAGAAATTCATAGCACATGTGCAAAAAATATGTTTTCTTTAAAAATTCAATCAGACACTTCCAATTTTCACTCCATCACATTATAGGCATTGTATCCCATCTGCTAGGTCAATGTCCCCAGATTAAAATTAGGGGTCTTCAATCAGGATTTTAATATGACTATTCTACTGTATTAAGGAAAGAATTATACCTATTAGATGATAAAGTCCCTTTTTTTTGGTAGCTTGGATATAGTTAATATTTAAAGACATGGTTCTCATCCTTGATTGGATTGTCCATTTTCTTTGGTATCACTCCATAATTTTGTATTTGTATGTCGATTGGTTTTTATTTTGTTCATTTTTGTACCGTGTTTGATTTCTCCGCTCAGGTGTTCTCCCCATAAAATTACCACCACTAAGATACCCTCTAATTTTGATCCCTTTCTCTCTCCCTCCCCTGCTGAATGTCTCCAATTTAGAGTTTGCATACTAGATTTGTCTTTTTTTCTGATCCCTTCTATAATTTCCCTATATTCCTCCTATAAGTGAAACCATCCAATATTTTTCTTTTTCTTTCTGACTTATTTCAATGAGCATTACCCTGTCCAGATCCATCCATGTTGCTGCGAATGACATGTTTATCTTTTTTGATCACTGAGTAGTATTCCATTGTGTATATATACCACATCTTGATCCAGTCATCTGTTTGGGGGCATTTAGGTTGTTACCATGTTTTGGCTATTTTAAATCATGCTGCAGTGAACATAGGTCACTCCATAAGTTTTTTAAAAATATTTATCCTATATCCCTCAAGAAAAAGTAAGTCATCTTCCATGGAAGTTGTGCAGATTTCTGAGAATCCATAATGAATCCATTTTGTCCTATACCCTGCACCTCATGTCATACACTTAGAAAGAAGAGGCATTGGTAGAGAATTAGGCTACCCTAGGATAATTTTCTGGACCCTATAGCAGTTGACACATCATACACCACATTAAGAAAGTTGGGGAACTTTAAACACATATTTCACTGCGGTGTTAAGGGTTTAAACAGCAAAGAACAGAGTAAGAGAGTTGAAAACAGTTGTGGGTTAAAATCATGAAAGCATAATGAACCAATATGGGTAATTCTGTGAGAGTTTTAGCCAGTGCAACCAGGCAAATTAGATGCACTCATGACTGAGGTTGTTGGGTGGATTTGAATGAAAAAAATTGAAGATTTGGAAATATTGTGTAAGAGTTAATTGGATTATTGCAATATTTAGTGTTGACAACATGCTGAAAACTTTGGTTAAATATAACTTAACCAAAGTCAATGATGATATGTCCAGGATTAAAGAACAAAAACCCTATGCAATAGTAAATGGAATAATTGTTATATGGTAATGCTTCTGTTTTGTAAAAACAGATCAGTTAATTTCAGTTAGAAACTAAGAGGAAACTGTGTACAAGTTAAATGCATCAATGTCTTCTTGACACTGTATTTTTTTTTGTTACATAGTCCACAAAAATATTTACAAGAGCTACAAAATTAACTCATTTTAGAACCAGCTACTAGACAAATTTGACCTTTTTAATGATGAACTTGCTAAAAATAAGAAAGGTTTGTATGGGATGATGACATTAGCACCATCTCATTAATGCACAGAGAAATACTTGCCAAGATATTTAAAGAAGAGCTTTTTAAAAAAAGTTGCTAACATAATCTGTAGCTAATTGTCTCATCTTAGAAAACACTTTATGACCAAAGCAAACACAAAGAGTAAGAATAATGTCTAGTTTCGGAAATTTTAGCTTTGCTTATTATGCGTAGGTAGAAAGCATGTTATAATCTGTGTCTCTGAGTTAAAATTAAGTACAGTGGAGCTAAATAGCAACTTAAGATGATTGCAGACCAATTCTAGCAAGACATGATCAATCCTGGGGACAGTGAAGAATAAAGATGTGCTATTGGTTATGGAATCTGAAGGAACTTCTCAAATGGATAATGCAAATCTTAAGAACCCAGTATAAGTGTATTACTTGTTACTTGACATCTCAAGAGATGGTATCATTGACTCTAAACACTTCTCAACATGGCCATCAGATTTATTTCATTTAATTTTTCTCTTTAGCATGGTAACTTTCAATAAAAAGGCATGCCAACAAATCAAAGTCAGAACATGTGCTTAAAAACAGATACTAATGTAATCAGCAACCAGGCAGGCAATCTTGAAAATGTCTTCATTCTCTTGGCCCCAATTTCTTTAACTATAAATTTAAGAAATGCTACTCCATAATTTATGAAAGTACTTTCAGTCCAAATATTATGTTCCTTTTAAAGATAGTATTTTGTGAATTATACATATTATCTTTCAACAGTGACTGGTACAGCTTTTCAATAAAAATAAAGTGAATTATTCTGATGATATCTTAAGAGGGTGATCTAACAGGTCTGTGGAGAGACAGCAATGACTAGAAAAAACATAAAACGTGGGTTTGTGCCTAGTAATTCCATCAAATATTGTTGACAGCAATTTCTTCGTTGGTAGCATGGGAATTATCATGTACCCTTCCTGTTGCCAGACCAGATGCAATAACATATATGAGAGAAGTCTGATCAGATAGCACCATAATACCATTAAAAAGTAAAAATAGAAGAGATTTGTGCTCTGTGCACATGTTGACCACATGTTACCATCAACCTATTGAGGCCTCGGAACTGTGGAGTTGCACTGGGACTAGAAGCGCACTGTATTTATAAGTCCACCAGGAAAACCAGATTAAAATTGTAGTTGGTCTGTTAGATCAATTCTCCCTTGAAATTAATCTTTTTTAACCATTTTTAAAAAGATTTATTTATTTATGCATACAAGAACTGGGGTGTAGACCAGGGGTGCAGGGGCTGAGAGGATTCACCAGAGACAGAACTGGGAGCACAACAGGCAGAGCTACTGAAATACACTGCTGAGGGGAGCAGCGGGAGAGACAGGAGATGTCTGCTGCGCCTTGTGGGTTATCTCCCTGCCTGGGGATCGAACTCATGCCTCAGTGGCAGTGATAGCTTGATAGCAGTGGGACTTTAACCCCTGCACCATCCTGGCAGCCCGGAATTAATCTTTTAATAAAAGCAGTTACAGGTAATATACCCAAAGGTTTATATCAGGGACCTTGTGGTTGATACTAAAATTCCTTTGAATGAGAAAATGGTCAAGAACAATCGCAACAAGTATAAGAAATAACTGGTTAGTGTAAGAAATAACAGTGGGTGGAGGAAGGTTGTTCTACATGACAACAAAGCAGTGTTAAGAATGGACAGTATAATTCTGTCATTTTAGTATAAGAATAGTCAAAAAGGTCATTTATATTGCATGGAGAATCTGATTAATTTGCTCATTTTGAATGTTATCAATAAAATGGTAAAACCTGAAATAGTCTATAGCATGGTAATGTCCATCCCTTTTTATTAAAACAAAATAGAACTCTGACATTCACAAAATTCTAAATGTTAAAGAGCAAAGCTATAAAATTATTGAATGAAATGGAGAGTAGGTGCCCAAACCTCATCATTGTAGTTGGAGTATGTTCTTCATCGAGATCCCAAATGCAAAATCTATAAAGAAAATTAATTGCAAAAAATATTGAAACTTTTATTCAGAAACTCTATAAACCATGTTAAAGATGATTCACAGGCTTAAAATATTTATACCCTATATAACATGTGATTTTTATCTATTTAAAAAAAAACAGTTGGAGAGCATGGAGGTACAAGTCTTTGGGCAGTATCACAGAAGGAAAATACCTAAAAATGTCTGTTTACTACATTTATGTATTTTTATTTACATATTTTTTCATTTGGTATTTATATGCCACATACATGTCAATATATATACCCTGATATACATATATATAGAGAGATTCATATAAATATAACACAGATATTTATGTGAATATGATCAGTTGTTGAAAGGGGTTTATTTTAATCTATCAGAGTAATTTGACTATTAAGAAGAAGAAAACAAAACCAAAAATCAGGAGGGAAAAACTAGTAGCAGGTCTTGTACTGAAAAGGCACAGCTGAGTTTGGAGAGTTGGGTTTTAACAAAAGAAGACAGCATTACAGGGTAGGGTGAGGGGCACCCTGGGCCCCCAAACCTGCCTGCTCTAAAAGGATTCTGCCATCCACCACATAAATACAAATTTATCGTTTGTGTGTAAGACTTTCAATTGAAAATAACTTTAATACAATTAGTGTGCAATAGAGAGAAGAGAAGGAATATGGTGTCCACATGAAGCACCCAAAGTTACCCATCCCCTTGTAAGTAAGTAAATGTTCAGCCAAACAGGGTTGGCCCAATGCTGGACCACAGAGGCCCAAAAGCTTGCCCCACGTCTAAGGCACCTTCTGGCAGGGCCCACAGGAAAGGGGCAGAAGAGGCCAGGCAAGTCTGGGATGAAAGAAGCAAAATCAAAATCAAGGTAAAAGCTGCCATTGGCACCCTTGCTAGGCATCTCTCATCCAAGTCTGTTTGAAGTATCTCCTTCCATGTCCCCTGTGTCCCCAAGTCCAAGGCTGAGAAGCAAGCACAGCTTCTTCACACGTCTCTCTGTTCCATGTGCCTCCTCCAGGTCTTCTCCCTTTTCTTTCCTCCATTTGCTCCCTTTTTCTTCTTTCCCAAGTCTTTCTCCGATCTTTTTCTAGTCGTTCCTTGAGGCTCAGCTTCACCCTTCCTGAGGGCGGGGCAGGGAACATGGAACCATCCATTTCTGTAGCTATCACACTGTTAGTGTAGGAAGATGAGAAGATCTTTAGCATCTGGGGCCTGCTGACTTTCAGTAGGACTCCCTTTTAGACACCCAGTCTTACAAAAAGGGTCTTAAACCAAGTTGGGGATACGTTATGATAGATAAGGTGATGTTGGGCCTCCCCTGGTGGCTCAGCGGTTGAGCGCTGGGCTGCGAGGCTGCCCACAGCCTCTGCAGCGCCGGTTTACTCCCCGGTTGCCAGCTAGGGTCTCACAAAAAAAAAAAAAAAAAAAAAAGGTGATGTTAATAATTGCTAGAATTCCTGAAATCCTGAAGTGGAATTAAATTCTTCTGGTGTCTTAGAGTGGATTAGTGTTGAATAATTTTACTTGTGTCTCTAGGTTTAGCAGGAACCAAAATATTTGGTTGGAGAAAGAAAACTAGAACAGAAAAATGCCCATAGATGATTTTGAATTCTCTTCACAATTAACTTTGTGATACTTTCTTTTTAGTGATGCAAGAGCGAATGAGTGAATGAATGAATGAATAAAATAAAAACTTTCGAGAGATGCGGTTTGGTTTAAGCAAACATTTAAATACATTCTACCTTAGGTCATGTGACTTTTAAAAATGCATTCTTGAGGCCTCCCTTGTGGTGCAAGGGGTTAAGTGTCAGCACAATGAAGCAATCTACAGCTACTGCAGCATGAGTTCAATCAGCCAGGGAGCTGACCCATATGACACAGCAGATCTCTCCTGACTCGCCCGATGCTCCCCTCAGCAGTGTACTTTGGTCACTCTGCCTGTTCTGTTCTCCACTCGGTCTCTGGTGAATAATCTCACACACCCCCTACACACACCTCTGGCCTAAATCCAAGTTCTATGCATAAATAAAAATAAAATCATTTAAAACACAGTCTTATGTAAAGATAGACTCAATTTCCATCTACTTCTAGTCATATAGTCAAAGCTATATATATAGGTATTTATGTGAAAATAGCACCTTTAATCATAGTTTAGACTTGCCAAAGAACAGTTACTTAATTTTATAATGTTTGGTCAAGGTCTAAATTTATATAAAGGGCTCATGGTGGTCTTGCATATCCAGATTTGTTTTGCTTTAAACATAATTAGATTTCATTATGTGCCCAATAAACATTTTATTGAGGGTTTCACAATGTCCATGACCATATAGCTATCTTAACAGTCAAGCATTTGTTACTTTTCAACTCTTTCAGTCATATTAATTGTGGGAAATTGATTGTTTAAGAACTGGAGAGGCAGTCTGCTTAAGGCTGAAAGAAAGTAGCCTGGGAGTGACCCCTACTCCCTCTTGCCTTGAGTTTCTGTCCTACAGAAAAGTCTGCTGACTCCTGGGAGAGACGACACACTCTCTCCCACCCTGGGAGCCGTCTCCTGGCAGAAGCCAGCAGCACGTTTCCACTAGTGTTCTCCTACCCATCTCAGGACTTAACTCTTTCCTTGTTTCTCTCTGTGTGTGCCCACACCCCAATGATGGGGTTTGACAGAAAATGGCAGTCTAAGGCCTAGGAATAAACCACACAAGTCTGGAGCTCAGAACTGAAAGTCTTCTGTGCTCTCTTCCTGAATGATTTAACCTGCCTTTCCCGATTCTCTTCATCTGCCTCAGGCTTCAGGAATTACCTTGTGCTTTTACACCATTCTGACTTTATTCTCACCTTTAAACTCTACATATTCCAATTTCAGCCATTTTTCAGGGCCTAATTCAACTTCCATGTATTTCTGAAATGTTTCCTCCCCTTCCTTTATCATTGTTAATATTCTTTTTTAAAAAAAAGATTTATTTATTTATGCATACAAGAGCTGGGGCACAGGCCAGAGGTGGGGGGGGAGGGGGATGAGAGCATTCACCAAAGACAGAGTGGGGAGAAGAACAGGCAGGTTGACTGAAGTACACTGCTGAGCGGAGCAGCGGGCGAGTCAGGAGAGGTCTGCTGTGCCATGTGGGTAGCTCCCTGACCAGGGATCGAACTTGTGCTGAAGTGGCTGCGGATAGCTTTATAAGTTGTGTCTTAACCCCCTGCACCACCAGGGAGGCCCTATCATTTTTAATACCCTTAGTGATCCTATGCTTGACATCTATCACCTTTTATTTTATCTTGGGAGACATGTCATTTCCAAAGTAGAGTCTAGAAAACAAACAAAAGAAACATTGTTAAAATATTAGATGCTAATAACTACAACTTTGAGTAGATCTGCTTCTTTCAGCTCTGCAAATGCTGAGCTTTAATTTGAAGTATCTCAGGGATACCGTAGAAACAAGGTGTCCATAACCCAGCTCTGAGTGGCTGCCTACTAGACCCATGTTTTCTTTGCATTTATTTTTATTTTTTTAAAGATTTATTTTATTTATGCACACAAGAACTTGGATATAGGCCAGAGGTGCAGGGGATGAGAGGAACCACCAGAGACAGAGTGGGGAGCAGAGCAGGCAGACTGACTGAAATACACTCCTGAGGGGAGCACCGGGGAGACAGGAGAGGTCTGCTATACCATATGTGGGGTAGCTCCATGACTGGGGATCAAACTCAGGTCAGAGTGTTGATAGTGCGGAGACTTAACCCCTAGGCCACCAGGGAGGGCCCTTTTGTTTCCCCTGCATTTAATAACACCTGGTTTTTATCTCTCTTCCAGGCTTATTATTCAGGTCTCCCTTATACATACTGATAATGGAGTTATCTTTTCAAAGTACAGGTTGAACATCCTGTTTTGCTAAAAATGCAATGCTATTTTCCTCATCAAGCTTCTTACCTCATTAGACAATGTACACCCTCAAGCGACGTTCTTTCTCTGGTTCTGTTTTTGTCTGTTCTTCCCTGTACAGCCTGCACTTTATCAAAGTTAACTTGCTATTTCTACTTAGAGCTTAGTAATAGTGCGCCATCTCTATTATTCCTGGTATTTAAAATGCTTTCTCATACCATCTGTAAATTGTCTCATTCTAACCATCCTTAATGATTGAATACTCAAAGATTGAAATATTTACCTTATCTTTGACATCTTCTTTGAGAGTAACAATATCTTTTAGTTTTCCTAATGAACATAAAGATTAAGTTTTGAGTAATCACTGCTACGTCAAAAAGTGAAAATGGTCTGAAATGTTATAGTACCACCAACTAAAACTTTAGCCCATCAGTCAGTCTATCCATCCATCAATCCATCCATTGATCAACTATTCCTGTCCAGGTGGAAGACAATGGCTGTATGTCATACACAGCAAAGTAGCAGCAAGAGCAATACCTTTGCTTGAGTTCTTAAAGCTCCATTTTCCACAAGGTCTTTCATGTGCCATATGTTAACTGTGAATTAAAGGGAAAGAACTCCAAAATTAGGACACTAATCTAAACAGGCCCACTGCACATCCTTTCCTCTAGAAAGTGAACCTTAACACTGTACTGAAATATAACTCAATGTCTCCAGGAGAAGAGGGTAGAAGGATTTCTAGGTTTATTACCCTGGGATGTCACAAATCTTCAGAGAAGAGAAGGGAAAACCCTAGGATGTCTACCTATAAATACCTAAGGAGATGTCTCCAGTTTTACTTTCCTGGAAAGACTTTTTATACAAACATTAGCTATAAATCCCTTTTTTCGATGACTTGAACCACGTGGAAACATGAGATCATCATGAAGAATTGTCTTTCAACAACTACCACATGTGAGACCTGTTACACACATTATCTTCAATCAGAACAATAGTTCTATCATTTAGATATTTGTATTTCAGCTTTACAGATGGGGAGATTGGGCCTCTGAAGCAGTCAAGTGAGAGGCCCAGGAGTCTAAGTTTTAGAGGCAATGTTCTAACTGGTCACTAACCTTAAAGTCAATTATCTCACCAAACCAACCCAAGACATTTTTTTCTCAAAGCAGCCTCATGATGCTTAGCATGGATTTATTTATGACACATATCTTCAATTTTTCCTGTTCTCATGTAAGGTTCTTGAAGACAGAATCATGTCTTATGCATTCTACTGTGTCTAATTAAATGAATAGCATGCAATTATCACTTACCTTAAGATTGCCTGAATAAAGAAAATCTGTCAAAATATGTATGGAGAAAACTTGACATTATACCATCTAAATAATACATGATTGTGGAAAGAGGTCACATTGTAAAATTCAAATATAGCAACCTCTTACTTGAAATATTAATAATGATCTCAACTATTTTTTATTCAGCTGACAATGTAGCCTGAATGTTTATGAAAATTTGATGCCTAAAGTTTAGAGAAAGTAACTAAGAGTTGATAATAACAAGGAGGGATATATCAAGAAATTGTCAACTCCCATAATAATTAATATTTTAATTCAAGGTATATGAAAATCTGAAAAAAATACTCCATTTTAGAACTGAAAAAAAAATACTCCATTTTAGAACTAAACTACTTCCATTCTAAACAAAAATATGCTCTGTTCTGGAGAGTCAAAACTACTGGTTGAGTTACCTGCTTTTTCAACCCTCAGTCTGGTTCTGGGCCAAGAGTATTTTTCTTGTAAGAATTTGTTCTAAATGTCTCATCTCGTGTTTACCTAGTTCATCTTCTGTTTTCATAAGCATATCATTGGAATATGTGTCTAAAGTTTTCCCTTGCTTGAAACAGACTGCTCCACTATTCAGAACTTAATGAGCTGCTTAAATAAAAACATTCCAGACTGTTAAACACCTATTGCAAACTTAGTCCCAATTTTGTCATTTAAGTGCTCTACACAAGTTATTAAATAGAATAAATATATCTGTTCTATTTCCCCCTTTGGACCAGTATTCATTGCTGTCTTTTCCTCATATTAGACCATGAGTTTTTAAGGCTATTCTGCAATTCTACTAAATACTTGCTTTGGACATGTGCCCCTTTTTGAGATAAGAAATTTCTATTCCCAATATATCTTGGAAGTACTAAATACATTTACATGATTTTATAAATATTAAACAATTATTTTTTCAAAAGGGGGACATTATATCTTCAAAAAGATATAACAAAAAAAAAGAGAAATGCAAAGACTTCTGAGTGGGAGGAAGGTTATGTTTCAGTATACTTTAAACTAGTTTGGCAGTGTTTTCCTTACATACATGCAGGATATTAAAATGTTAGCTCTGTGTGTGTGATTTATTGTGAAATCTCTTTACCCAAAAAAACCCTGCTATTTTAGTAGAGTTCAATATATTTCCTTTGGGGAAGATTAAATAAAATATGTTAACTCAGTTAAATTTGGAGTCTGATGACAAATGACTAAATGTTTTCAAATTAGACAGGCACAGGAAATCTGTCCAGCAAAGACCTAAACTGGGAAATAATGCTTGAATGTAGACTGGCAAAATTTGGTAATTTGTTGCTTTAGAGTTCAATATTACAATATCTCATTAATTTTAAGTAATAAGCAGAAATAAGGTTCCTCAATCATGGCACACAATTCAGTTGCACAATTATACATTGATACTCAAATATACATATGAAGATAAAAATAACATGAAGTTAGGATGGGAGAGTGAACCATAGTTTGGGTATCATTTGGGTGTGTGACATGTTAAAAAGGAAAGGATATATTCACTTAACACTGAGTAACTTGTCAAAGTAACTCAAGGATTACTCTGTTTTCTCCTGATAATGGATCTAAATTATTTTGCAGGTGAGGAATATAGCTTTATTGTGAATTTTCAAAGGATTTTTTTTATTTAAATATTTTATTTTATATAATTCTTACATCTTTTATCATCTTTGCACAATGCATGCATTTTCATTTTGGTTATATTCGCCATACAATTGCACCCCCCACTTATTTTGACTCTAGTCCATCCTTTCCCTGCCCTTCCCCCCCCCCAGTATGTCTCTGGTTTGTAGTTGCTTGTTGATTTTGATTTTTACTTTGTATTGATTAGTCTTTTTCCTGATATCTTATTTAGGTTTTCTAAATTCCTGCTATGAGTGAGACTATCCGGTATTTTTCTTTTTCTTTCTGACTTATCTCGCTGAGCATGATCCCTTCCAGCGCCATCCATGTTGCTGCAAATTGCATGTGTTTATCTTTTTTGATTGCTGAGTAATATTCCATGGTGTATATGTACCACATCATCTTGATCCAGTCATCTATTTTTGGGCTTTGGGTTGCTTCCATAGCTTAACTATTGTAAATAATGCTGCTATAAACATAGGGGTGCAGGTGCCCTTTGGAATTACTGTTTCTGTGTCCTTTGGGTAAATACCTAGGAGTGCAATTGCTGGATCCTATGGAAGCTCTATGTTTAGTAGGTCCAGAAATCTCCACACAGCCCTCCATAGTGGTTGGACCAGTTTGCACTCCCAGCAACAGTGCAGGAGAGTTCCTTTTTCTCCACATCCTCACCAACATTTGTTGTTGCTATTTTTTTTAATATTCTCACTGGTGTAAGATGGTATCTCATGGTAGTTTTGATTTGCATTTCCCTGATTACAAGTGATGTTGAACATTTTTTCACATGCCTGTTGTCCATCTGCATTTCCTCTTCAGAGAAGTTTCTTCTTAGCTCTTCTGCCCATTTTCTGACAGGATTATTTTCTTTGTTGTTGTTGAGTCTCATCAGCTCTTTGCAGATTTTTGTGATCAGTCCTTTATCATTAGTGTTGTGTGCAAAAATGTTCTCCCAGTTGGTGGGTTTCTCTTTGTTTTTGTGATTGTCTCTTTTTCTGTGTAGAAGCTCTTTAATTTGATGTAGTCCCAGCTGTTTATCTTTGCCTTCACTATCACTGCTTTGGGTGATGTGACTGTAAAGATGTCTTTGAGGTGCATGTCATGTAGTGTTTCTCCTATATTCTTCTATGTATTTTATGGTTTCAGATCTTATGTCTAGTTCTGTAATCCATTTTGAGTTGGTTTTTTGTATGGTATGAGGTAGTAGTCAAGCTTCATTCTTTTGCATGTAGCGACCCAGTTTTCCCAGCACCATTTATTGAACAAACTTTCTTTTCTCCAATGCATATTCTTTGCTCATTTGTCAAAGATTAGTTGACCATAAATCAGTGGGTTTATCTCTGGACTTTCCACTCAATTCCATTGGTCTGTGTGTCTGTTCTTGGTCCAATACCATGCAGTTTTGATGATTATGGCTTTGTAATATAGTTTGAAGTATGGGAGAGTGATGCCTCCATTCCCTT